TTATTTTGAGGAATTGGCTCATATGAATATGGAAAAATTTATTTTGAGGAATTGGTGCATATGAATATGGAGGCTTCTGCAGATTAGCAAGTTGAAGACCTGGGAGGGCTGATGGAGTAGAGAAGGGCAATAGATCAAAAACAAGGAGGATAAAGATTCCAGTCTGAATCTGAAGAAAGGTCAAAACTTGCCCTTCTATATAGAGCCCAAATGGACAAAGATCCCCTCCCCCCATGAGAAAATCGAATTTTAAAAAGGATATGTATAATCCAGCAATCTTGATCAAGGCGTGGCTCCATTGACCCTTATCTCTAGGTCCTTCCCAACAGGTTGTGTGATCCTGAGGAGTAAATTACTTGTGCCTGAGGGTGCAGCTTCATCATCATAGATAATTAAATCAGGGAGGGGGCATTCCAGACAGGGTTTCTCTGTAGCTTTGGAGCCTGTCCTGGAACTCAATCTGTAGACCAGGCTGGCCTCGAACTCACAGAGATCCAACTACCTTGGCCTCCTGAGTACTGGGATTAAAGGCATGTGCCTCCACGGCCTAGCAGATAATAAACTCTTTTGAGGAGTGTGTGACCTACTCTTTAAGGCTTACTATTACTTATATAATAAAAGTTTATGTGTCTGTCTGCTGTTCTTGAATTCTAAGGTGACTACAGGTGTAGGACAAGGCATCTTTAGGGGTCTTGGAGGCCCATGTGAGGAAATGCTTTTTGGCAAAAGCACTTTCTTCTGGCTTGCTCTAATACCCCAGCAGGCAGGTTTTCAGTAGTGACGATGTCTTGCTTAGTTCTAGTGTATACGTATTGTAGATGAGCCCCCTTTCTGGGTCTCAATTTCCTTGCTCTCAAGATGAAACTGGAACACATTGTATTTAGGCATGTTAAGTTGCCAGCCACGATGCTTGACAAGCAGAAATATCATGGCCATCTCCTCAATATACCAACAACACCGTGGACACTCAATAAAAGCTTACAAACTTGGCGAAAATAAATATGTCTGCGACTCAGTTCTTAACATCCCGAGGCCCTCATTAACTATTGAGTTCAAATCAAAGTTGATCTTTAACAGTAAGTTTGTGGCAGAAGCCACATACTTAATAGGGTCCTACTGAGGGAAATTGTCATTTTAGTGTAGAAAACTAAGACAGGGGCTGGAGAGATGGCTCAGAGGCCATAGAGAGGATCTGAAGTTCAGGTCCCAGTTCCTGTATTAGACTGTTCACAGCGCTAGGGGATTTGACGCCCTCTTCTGGTACCTATACTCAGGAGCAGTATCGTCCTGTCCATATATACACATGATTAAGAATAAAATCTCTGCCGAGCACGGTAGTGCACCCATTTAATTCCAGCACTCAAGAGACAGAGGCAGGCCAATCTCTAAAACTTCAAGGCTAGCCTGACTTTCTTAGGGAATTCAAGGTTAGGCAGGGCTGTAAAAAGGAAACCCAGTCCGCTTCCCGCAAAAGACTTTTCATTGGCTCTCACTTAACCAATTCTAGACACGCTCCCAATTCTCGGCAGCCAATCGGAGTGAAGGGGGCGGGAACAGCTGCTCAGCTGACTGGCAGTAGCGGCTCGCGGAAAATGTCGCGGCCCT